AAAAAAAAAAAAAAAAAAAAAAAAAAAAAAAAAAAAAAAAAAAAAAAAAACCACGCACAACATCTTCGTAACAACAATTGCAGCGGACGCAGCTGAAGGCGAGTTGAAAACAACCGTATAATACACGTTGAAAAACATTTTAGCTCTTAACTTGATATTTGTACCAACAGACAGTTGTATTTTATGATCTTCTCATGGAGGATTCTTGAAAAACTTTTCAACATACACAAAGTTAAAATGCAAAAATAAAATATACCGCGCTACAAATTTTCATTTTTTCTCAAGATGCGCCAACACCACAATGCTCTTGAAGCATACGAAAAATGTAACAAAAATGTACCCAAAACGGTGTGCAGGGACCGAATCTTATGGTACGTATAACGTATTTCAAAAATTTACTTCGAAGACTTCCACAACTTTGCTCCGACCAATATTCAAAAACATCATTTCCATTCACGAATTCGAAACTTTCCTTTACATGGACGTATTTCTATCAAACAGAACTATGCGGAGGTGAGAAATATGGGGTGTGCTCGACGAAGCTGCATAAGAAACAATGTAAAAGAGGGCGTGATTCCTTTTGAAGAATTGGAAAAGCGGGATATTACATTCTATCAAACAGACCTATGTGCCAACTGAATGCGGGATTCATGAGCCGCGGGCATGGCAAGAGAGCGTTGTGGACAGGGCTCATGAGTTAATGCCCCCCGACGACGATCTCCTCGTGCGCCCCCGCTTTTTCATTGTCGCTGACGTCACTGGCGCTTTATTATTCTCATTCACTCTTACGGCCAGAGAACTAACGAGCACACCCCATATTTCTCACCTCCACATAGGTCTGTTTGGTAGAAATACGTCCAGATGTCTTATCATGGCGTGGATTTCTTGATGATTCGGAGGAATTATTGATACTACCTCACAATACTTTAATTTACGCTGCAAGTCTACAACGTATTTCTGAAATTCAGGGCCTAAGATCAACTAAGATTGAAAAGATCACAGCAACGGAACA